TACCAAGTACTTTACCACACATGTCGCTGCGCGTCCTCGGGGTGCAAGCTGTCGATGAGAGTAAGGGCCGCTAACAATAACTCCGAGTCGTCACAGGCATCGGTGTCTTGTAGCATCATGTGGCCACTCTCGACACTCTCTTGACTCTCGGGATATGCTACGACCAGTGCAGCGTGCATCTGCATGGGAGTCTGCAGAATCGTGTGCGGTCCGTACTCGCCTGGCGCGAGCATGCAAGGTGGTACGTGAGGGCTTCCTGGCACACCCACGGTGAATGCTTGAACCTCTACTATCATCAGATCACCAAATTTGGAGGATATACTGGAGTTGGCCTGTTTCCAGGCATGAGGTCGGGTTGACGTCGAAGGTTGTGGTCTACCTCCGACGGCGAGGCCGCAACAGTGACTTCCTCGTCGCTGCTCTCGTAGGCCATGATGTTGCCTGGGTTACCGAACATCCAGTCGAAGAAAGAAAGGGGCTGGTTTCCCAGCGTTCCGTTCTCCACAGGCGTAAGCTCGATATTTCCGATAACAAACCTGCGGAGGTACTCGAGGTAGTGCGCGTAAAGCCCATGGCCGCACGCCTCGAGCTCATCCAAATTGTCCATACTGCTAGCCCAAGTGAAAAATATATGTTCCACAGCCTCAACGTCTTGGAGGCTCAGATATTCAATAGACGGTTCACTTGAGCCTAAATGGACTGCGGTCGATCTACCCTTTTCCATTTCCCTGCGCTGGACAGTCTTTTACAACATGATCGGTACTATCACACTCATGGCACTTCAGGATCTGGCAGTCCCTACCTCGCGGGCTTCCCCGCCTGCCCTTACCTTTGCCAGAGGTTTCCCCGCGGCCTTTTCCGCGGCCTTTTCCCCCGAAAAATATCTCATCATACTGATCATCTGAAAGCCTCTGGAGGAAAGCCGCGATGCCTCGTCCGTTCAACCTTCGGCGACCCCGTTTGCCCTTACCTTTTCCTTTGCAGCTCCTCCGTATCCCCCTCCTAACACGACGCGCCGGTTTTCGTGTAAACCTCCTCCACCTACGCTTTGCCTGCTGTAATAACCTGAGAAGGTGTTCAGCACGCTGATTGTCACCTTCCATTTGCATGATATCTGGCCAATCTAGGGGTTCGATACCATCTGATAATATAGCGTCGGCGTCGGTGCCGGAGTCGAAATCGTCGTTACCTAAGTAGGTGGATATCCCGTCGTTTCGGGGATTCGCTTCGCCCCATGGGGAACGGTTGGGTTGAGGCTCTCTAGGAGGAGGGCTGGTTGCCCAGCTCGGTTGTGATCGGCCCCCTGCTAGTAGGGCAGTAGATTCTCCAGGATCGTCGGCCCATATGTTTGAGGGCCCGCTGCCAGGCTGAGCTTCAGTGGTTAAGATAATATAGAAGTTGCCACTGCCAGTCCCCCTTCCCCTTCCAAACACTGATCCTATGTTGCCGGGAGCCCGTTCTGACAAATGGCCTATAGAGCGCATCCTCTCACGCAGTTCGTCATGCTGCTGTTGTGTTCGGGGCATTTGGTGGTTGAGTGGCTGTGAGAGTTGCATGGCTCGCTGGTTGCCAACGCCTAGGGCGCGGAACAGGATAGTCGTGAGCAGTTGGAAGTTGGGAAGGTCAAAACACACCCACTGCGCCTCAATACGGACCATTTCGAACCGAGTAAAGGTTACATCGATTCGTTCTCCGTGAAGCACGTGGAAGACGATGAGTTGAGTGCCTGAAGTGAGCTGGCGTTCATCTTCCAAGCGTTCGAACTTCATGCTTAGGAGAAACATAATATAGGTTACTGGGTCGGTGTGGACACCATAAATGTCCGCACCATTGTTTATGATGTCAGGTGGTACCCTCATGGCGAGTGTCCTCGCTAGGCCGCCCAGGCCGCGTTGTATGGCGGCTGCTTGGGCTTGTGGCGTCATGCGTCCGCTTGTGACGTTAAGCCGCGCGTTGACCTCATAAACGTATTCGCGGAAAGGTACGTTGCCTCGAGGGTCCCAGTATGGGCCATGTGTTTGCCCATCTGTGCTATTGTCTCCTCGGCGCATGTGTCCGATTGCTGCCCCCCAGCGCAAACCATATGATGGCGAAGATAACCAACCCAAGGCTGTGAATATATGGGTGGTTATCAGGCGCGTTGCCGCGCTGGGGTAGGGCTTGTAGCGCCTTGTCAAGTGTACGAGGCGCTTTATCTTGCGGGTCTCCCCGCCTATGCTTCAAGTGCTGCGCTTTTGGCTCGTTGCCGAGCGGTTGGTAGTAGCGCAGTGATGAAGCGTATCTGGTACCAATGTTGTCTAGACGTCGTACCTCTCGTGTTGCTTCTTGCTCTTGAATTGATCTTCGTAAATTTAGTTGGAGTGGTGGCGCAGGGTGGAAATTGGTCACGAAGATCGTGCCGGATAGCGTGAGGATAAGAAGAGCAATAGCTGACCGCACGAGAGTGCGGCCAGCTACGCTACCAAGTCTGAAATGACTCAGGCATCTCATATAGCATCCAATTCCATGTCGAAGGAATACGATATGGGGAGTGGATGGATAGGATAAGATAAGATCGAT